ATTCCCTGCTCCTGACAGGGTCCCCTCCACCTTGCCCAGGCCTGGCCCTGATGCAGAGAAGATATCCTCCCCTTGTTATCAGACTTAATATTAAACTCTAGGGTAGGGGGAGAACCACCCCCTGCATTGGATCCCAAACTAGTTGTTGCCCCGCTCATATGGGGCAGAGGAGGGGGAAGCGCAAAGTGGGGACTTAAGTCACTGTTCCTGCTTGGAGCTGGGAGCAATTCTGCAAGCCATGTCCCTGATCCTGGCTCAGGTGGTAGGGTGGGTGGACTGGGGTCTACTTGGGGAGGGAGGGGGGGAAAGGGGAGGTGAGGGGAGAAGGGAAAACTTCTGAGGCTTTTCCCTGCTCAAGCAGAGAACAGTGGGGTATGGCCAGGCCCCATCCTGGCCCACCCAGCTCCAAACCCAGCCTGGCCAGCTGAGGAGGATGTAGGCAGAAGGGGGGCAACAACCTCCTCCCTGGCTTATGTTGGACCCCAGCTGGGGTCTTCATGGTGGGGGGTGGGGAGGCAACCCCTCCCAAGCTTTTCCTCATGCAAGCAGAAAGCAGGGGGCATGGCCAGGATCTGCCCTGGCCACCTGAGGATGATGTGGGGTTTAAAACCCCTCCCTGGCCAATACAGGGCCCCAGTCAGCTGAGGTCTGTCTGGCAAGGGGAGGGAACCCCTCCCAGGCTTTTCCCTGCTCTCCACTTAAGCAGGGAAAACCCTGGGAGAGTTTCCTTCCCCTTGCCAGGCAGATCTTGGCTGGGATCCAGAATGGGCCAGGGAAGAGGTTTAAAGCCCTGCCCTGTCCTCCAACCTCCTCAGCTGGCCAGGCCAGGGCCTAGCCATACCCCTCAGCTGGGGTTGTTGCCATTGTGGGGTGTTGCCTGCATGTATATGTTATGGGGTGGGGGGGAGGTCACTACCATGCATGGTATAACATTTGGGGGTGCTTGAGTGGTGGTGGTGAGGCCATGTAGTAGTGGCCTGGGGAACCTGTAACTCTCTCTGTTGTGACCTGTGGTCTCTGCTGGTGCAGTCCATGTGGTGTGTGGCCCTATGGCAGGGCACTGTTTGTGCCTGCCACTTTAAGGGCCTGCAGCTGCCAGGTGCCTGATGAGGGCAGCCATTTTGAATCTAGGGCTGCCCATATAAACAGGGCAGTTCTGCTGCTGGGGGCAAGGCAACAACATTGCCTGGCCAGAGGGCTGCTGGTATCAGCTAGAGGTAAGGGAGGAGCTGTAGGGGATGGTAAGGAGGCTCCTGGTCCTGGGGTTAAGGCACCCCTAACCGCCTTTCACCAGGGTGATAACTGGCCTGGCATTTCCTGGGGGCTCCGGCACCACTGAGAGCCCCACCAGGCCATCCACTCCCGGCAGGGTGCAGCTTTAGGTCATGCCCAGGACCAGGGGCCTCCTTAGCATCCCCTACAGCTCCTCCCTTACCTCCAGCTGATACCAGCAACCCTCCGGCCAGGCAATGTTGTTGCCTGGCCCCCAGCAGCAGAACTGCCTTGTTTATATGGGCAGCCCTAGATTCAAAACGGCTGCCCTCATCAGGCACCTGGCAGCTGCCAGCTCTAGGCCCTTAAAGTGGCAGGCACAAACAGTGCCCTGCCACAGGCCCCTTTCCTTTTCAGTGTCTACTCTGCCACTCTGTAACACAGGGTACTGGGCAAGATGGACCTACAGTCTGACATAAATAGCGATTCATATATTCTTGTATGGACTCTCCCAGCACTGAGGTCTGTGACATGCTACTCCATTCCCTGGGGCAGGTGCAGGAAGCAGAAAAGACTCTGGGTACAGGCAGCTGTAACAAACAAAATAGCTTAAAGGCCTTTGAAATGGCATGTACAGACATGCTTGCTCTTTGAAACGTTCTGAACATGGCAGAAACACTCCAAAATAGTATATTTGAAATAAAGTGCTACTTTGGAGCATCTCACTTTTGGTTACATATTTATGAGGACAGTATGCAGGAACTTGGTTGGCACAGAGTGCAGGTGGACTTACCCCTTCCCATCTCTTGCCATACCCCTAGGGCAGCGGTTCTCAACCTTTTGAACCTTACGCCCCACCTATATAAGGTCAAAAAATCCTGGTCACACCAATCAATTGTGGTCCCCAAGAAGCCAGTCAACAAGCAGGGGGAAGGGGTCCCAAACCAGCCAATCAAAGCATGCAAAAGTGAAACCAGAAGTCTCACCATGGCACTACTGGTTTCACCACTGCGACCCGAGTCCCACCTAGAGGACCTTCATGTCCCACCAGTGGTATGCGTCCCACCGGTTGAGAAACCCTGCTCTAGAGCACTTGCTGGTGGTGGAGTTGGATCCTTAAGCCCCAATCTCTTCTACCTTCCCCTCTGAGCGGGTCCAGTGGACGTGGGAGCCTCTGCCACTTCTAATCACTGCTTACCTCTCAGCTCTGTCTCCATGCTGTCTCTTCCCCCCACCGTCCCACTCCTATAAGGGGAGGAGGGTGAGAGAGCTGCTGTAGAGGTTGCTGCTCACTGGCTGGTGTCAGAGGAAGCTGCAGTAGTTTTAAATGTTCCACCCAGGAATGGCAAGGGGACATACATTTTTCCTTCTTGAAGAGGGCATGCGCTTCTTGAAGTTTTTCTAAGTGTGTTTCACTTGGAAACATCTCAATTGTTACCTATCTCTGCAGTCATTGGCTGGCTCTCTTATGTGTGGCTACAATGCTTGATTGGAGAGGGGACAGCTAGCCAGTTAATTACTTCTGTTGCAAGAGGCTTACAGACCCCAGTACCGAGGAAAAGGCTCACGAAAACAAAACTATTTTCTGTTTTCTCTAGTATTTCCCCCTCTTCTATATCAAAAGTGGTGCTTGAGCCAGAGGCCTTGAAACCCTTCTCTACTGTAGGATTCCACCAGTAATGATCAAGAAGCCTTAGCTTATTATAAATCGACCACTTCAATAGACTAGCAGCAATTTTTTATTATTGTAATATATAAGAACCATCCAAGACTGGGCCACTTGGCATTAGATGCTTACAAACAGAATCACAGAGTTTAAATGGTAGGCATACAAGAGCAGACTGATTTTGGGAAGCAAAAGATTGGCTTAATAGCCCACGCTAGGAGAAATCTGGGGCTCTGTAATATACCTACTTCTCCACCTGAAACAAGCTTTGTATGGCAGCTCGCTCAAGAAGCCCTTTTCTGTTAAAATAAACCAGCAGCTTCTTCTTTCCTGCTAATCAGAAATTACTATAACAAGCATATCAGGCAGATGAGTCACGCTGGGTCAGACCAAGGGATCATCTAGCCCAGTATCTTACTCTAATGCTTTACAGAAACAGGGTACATGAAGAGATGTCTATGGTCTCACTGATGTTTCCAAAGTAATTAGAATACTACAACAAAATCAGGTTTGGAAGATACTTGTGTGTGCCTTACTAGCATGGCAATGTCTCTCTGATTTTAAATTATGACCACAAGAAAAGTGAAAAAATGACCTTAGAGACCAATTATATGCTCAAAAAGGTCAAATGTCACAACTAAATCAATTGTAAAATAATTAATAAAATAACTTAGAAAAATACCCTTTTAAGTAACTATCAAAGTAAAATCTTATCTTTGTGAAATGAGTAAGAGTTGAATTGTGTATCAACATTCACTCAGCCTACATAATTATCTCCTTCTCACAACAACATTACGATTCTATACAGTATGTAAATAATCACTGATTAGTTTTCCTGCCTTATCAACTGTTCTTTCTTGTGCATAAACTAGCTAATACTTTTATTTAATGCACTAAAGAGATTCATTTGCATATTACTTATCTCCCACTCACATCAAAAATTGCAATTAAACTTACAACTGTTTTATTTATAATTAAAATTAACAGATCCCAAGGAAATACAGGTTTACCAGTGCCCTCCAACTTATTCTTTGTGAACTTTTTAGTTTATTTATGCATTTTCCTGAACAGATTGTCTCTAATTCCCCCTGAGTGTGATTATCTCAGGATAACCACACCCCCTGGAATTGCTTTTAAGTTTATAATAAGAAAGGACTTTGTTGTGAAAAAATATGCTTTGGTTTTGTGCTTGAGAAAAAGCAGCTGGTGTTTAAATGCTCAATATCTCTTGTAGTTGGGTTGTTCACATTTATCAACCTGCCCCTTTTTGAATGGCCACTGTCAGACAGAAAATCACATTAAGTTCAACAACAGTTGTAATTAGCAGTGTCAATCAAAATAGGAGAATAATAGCCACATTAACACAATAACATGTTGATGTATGAAGAAGCAAAGTTCTTACTGCCTGAGGTAATGCTTTGGTCTAAAAAGAATAATTGCCAACTATTTCAAAGTGCTATAGTGAATTAAGTTTGGTTATAGCATAATTAGAAAGTAAAAATGAAGATGTGGATATGCTGGATTTAAAATTGGCAATTTTCTACCTGCAGTGCTTGAAATTTTCAAATGTCTGCTATAATGTATTGTGCCTTATTATTCTCAGGCACCATATCAGGTTGCATCATGCCATGTCTCATTATGCTAAATGACATAACAATACTATTACAGTCTACCCTGTGGTAGCACAATACTAGAAATGTAAACAAAATAAACATCTTCTTAGTAGAAGAGTTAAACTATATATTTTTGTTATGTTCATGTCTAGAGCTGATTAACCACTTTAACCTCTAGAACTGATATTTGATGCTCTGAAATCTTTCCCAAGTACTTGTCGGAGGTGGGAATAAAATATAAAATTTTGAAGGACCTCAGGGAATTAGGCACCCAGTCACCAATTCAGGTTGGTGAATACCTATATGAATTATGCTTCTTGTAATAGGCTCCTTATTTATCTTTGCAAAAGACTCTTTTTAAACAAGCTATACTGGAAATAATTGACAATCACGAATGCCAAACCCACATTTTAAATACAAGTTATGCACTTACAGGAGCTCCTTGGGAGCTCCGCACTTGCTGCCACTGCCATGCTCCCCCTGCTGCCACCAGAGCCATGCTCTGCCCCCCCCCCAGCCACTGGGGGCACTGCGTTCATGAACGCAATGCCTTATTCACGGATGTCGCCATTTGCAGGGGATACGAGAACGTATCCCCTGCAAATGGTGAGGGTCTCCTGTACTGAATTATAATAATATTATTTCAAAGTACTGTTCTTGGGCCTTGATTCTACCTTCAATCTAGTATATTTGCTACCCAGATAATTTTGTCCATTTGCTTATGTTTTGCTTTTTTCCTTGAGTTGCTAGATACATCTTTGCTGAAGGCAGTTAACTTTCATAGAAAATCATGAAGGTGCTAATTATGTCAAATCAGTCTTACAGATGAAATCTGGACACAAGATTTCACTTCATTTTAGTTACTGTGTTTACTTGATTCCAAGCTGAGGTTTTTCTTTGCCATTCAACACGGAGGGGAAAAAACCTCGTCTTAGAATTGGGTTTCGAGCAAAATATGCAGAAGAGACATCAGGAACCCATTTAGCAAGGTTTGGGATATTGAAGGACCCAGCACAGGACCCAGGGTAGCAAAATACCCAAGGGGCATGTGACTCAGTGCAGAAGCACCTGGCAGCACAGGGCCCATAGCAGAGGCAGACCCAGGGCAGCAAAGGATCCTGAACAAAAGCATAGACAGGAGAGGGACCTGGCACGGAGACACCAAGCAGCATAGGACCCAGCATGGCACCCACAGTGGTGAGGGACCCGGCCTGGAGGCACTGAGCAGTGTGGCACACGGCAGCAGGGGGGCAAGTGGTAGGGCAGGCTGGTGGAGGGACAAGTGGTGAGGAGGGGGAGACAAGGCCAGGCTGCTAGTCCCGCCTGACACTTGCTGCAGGGTGAGTGGGGGGGAATTTAAGATGACTCCCCAATAATTAGATTATATACATTGAAAAATGTAACAAAAGTATAATGTTTTATGCATGGAATCCGATTTTGGGGGAGTTGCCTTAAATTCAAAGTCATCTTGGATTTGAATAAATGCAATACATGGGAAATCTGAAAAAAGTATGTAAACCTATTGAAACAATTTAAGCACCAGAAAGGTCTGAAACAGGGAGCTATATTTTTTTAGAAAAACTGGAAGCAAGTCAAAATAACATATTTTCTAGAAAACTCGGAAAATTCATTCTATGCTCAAGATATCTTATCATTTTGGGAGGAATTCTATCTTTTTCATATCACTAAAAGAGGCTAAAACAGTACTACAATACAACACTTAACACCTTTGCTGCAGCACCACAATCAGCACTGACTTCATATATTAATGAAACAGAGGTCAAGTCAATCCTTGTCCCCATTAGTGCTTTCATAAACCTATTAATTATTTATGTGGCCCTGGACTACTAGGAGACAAAAACCCTGTTGGCCAGTATCACAGAAAAGAGGGTCAACCTACCACTAAGAAAAAAAAAAAATGGGGAACCGAATATAAACCTATTGGAGGTACATGACAATATAGGGTATATACAGGTGTATGAGCCTGGATGAAAAGAGAAAATTAGAAGATAATTTTATCAATAATTAAAACAAGAGAATATGTTAGGAAAAGGAAGGGAGGGGTCATTTTAGAAGATTTTAAGCTGAAAGTAAAAAAGAAGTTGGCATGGCTCCAAATGAGTATATGAATACCTGAAATGTCAACAAAAAACAAGTCAAAAGAAAGCTGTAGTAAAAGCATAGCCATTCTCCAGAATGCACACTCCACCACATTCGTTGTGAAATCTTTTGAATTACCATGCCACATTCCTATACAACAGCGATGAAAACATCCTTCAATAATTTATTATAGCCTTAAAATGACAAGGCACCTGCCATCAAAATGGATCTGAAAGTGGTCTGGTAATTTTCAAAATTATAGCATTTAACAGAATAATTCTTAGTAGCTTTATAAATGGGCTACTTACTGTAAATAGACCTAATTATCAACAACTGTTTGGGTAGCAACAGATATATTTAAAGACGTGCAACACTTTTCATTATCCACTCCTATTTTCAGTTAGTATACAGAGAAAGATGATTTCCTTTGGTGTACATTTTCTAAAATGGGATCTATTCCTGATTTGGAAGGGAAAACTTTTTTTTTTTTTTTAATTCTCCATGATGCGACCCTGAGTCTGAGGGAATCCACTTGGAAGCCTGCCAGAAACCAGAAAACCTGCCACACCTGGGACACCCAATTACCCAAAAGCCATAAGTCTAGAAGTTTGGAACTGGAAGAGACCTCTTACAACCTTGAGTCCAGTCCTCTACTATCTCTTATAATCCTTGCTTCCTTTGATGCACCATTCCTTTCTTAAACTGATCAACTACCATCTTCAAACTCGTTCTTTTTGCCCTCCATTTCTATTGGAAGGCTATTTCAGACTTTCTTCCTTCTGAGGGCTGGAAGCCAGTTGCCAGACTAAATGCATCTATGGTCAGTTAGAGTCATTTGTTTATGCACTGCTATCTTAAACAGTTTATTTTTTTCCTTCTTGGTATATACCCTCCAGATACACTTTTGGAAAACAAATCAGCCCTATCCCTCTATACCACTATTTATTAACCAAGCCAAAAATCTGTTGATAGGCTTTCTGTTCCCTTGGTCATATAAGACTTCTTTGTACCTGTATGTGAATTCCTTTTTCCTGCAACTGGTTGGCTACAACGTTATTCAGTATTCCAGACATGTCCACGCAGCCTTGTATACCAGTATGAATACTTCCCTATCTCTACTGGAAATACATTCCTGATTCAGCCTAACTTGTGCATTTGCCTTTTCATAGCCAAATCACACTGACGGCTCATCAACAAATTGTGATTGTCTAATAAACCCAGGTCTTTGTCCTTCTCAATTCATTCCAATTGATTATCTTCTCAGCTGACAGCTGAAATTCCTATCATCAGTCCTTAGGTGCATGCCCTTTGCACTATGAACTTATGTGCCATTTATATTGCTCTACTCCTTAAAAACAGCCAATACTTTCTGTCCAATTTTTTTCCCCTTCAAAATCTGTTTTAAAGCCACACCTACTATTGCAGTTGGCAGAGTAGGTCCAAATCATCTCCAGTAGAAAAATATTCCTGGGTTGAATATAAGATCAGCTGTTCCTATAACCATTTGTCTTGAAAGTTTCCATGCTAGCTATCTAGCTTTAGTTAAAACAGTAAGCCATTTCTCAGAATGCAAAAGTCATACATTGTTTAGTGCATATTTAAAAAATCCCAACAAAATACAGATATTTAACTTGGAAGTTGTAGTACTTTTCCATGTTCTGGAATACTATAATACAACTAGAGTGTGGCATTGGGGCAGCTGCCTTGGGGCCAGCTTGAAAAAAACAGCTGATATCATAGTTGTACTGTCACAATTGTGTGGTGGTCCTCAGAAGCTGCCCTGTGTGGCAGCTGCCTGGCCACCTAACCATGCATTATGCCTCTGTTGGAATGAGAGCTTGAAATATGATTGGGAGGGTCACAACATGGTCAGGGACATGATTCTTGGTGTAAATTCCCCTGAAGTTAGCCAAGTTACATGCCTCTGAAACTTCTCAGTTGAAACTTGGTCAGCAAAAACTTGCTAGATTTTCACCACTTTCTCTGAAGGTGAAGATTAGGCTGGACATGCTCCATTCCTAGGCATGCAAGGACTAAGCTGACTTTCCCTCCAGTTTCTATACAAGGGCTGTAAATAGATATCTCATTTGAGCACTGATCGTCCCAGGTTTTGATCTGGATGAAAATAGCAGTGCAACTACTTACACATGTAGCCCTTCCAAGCTGCATTTCCAGTAGGCGATAAACAGGGTGGAGGGGGAGAGGAATTATTAGCACATTTTATCTGGCATATTTCACGGGCAATTTCCATGAGCACAGAGAGGTAGTTAGCCAGGTTATTCTGAAGTCAAACAGAATTCAGGCTATAAGGTGCATCCCTGCCCTGCCCTGCCTTCTGCCTCACAGGTACCTGAAACAGGACAATGGGTATGAACATGTGTAGGGTGCAGGGACAAAAGGCTATCTCTTGGAAGAAACAGATACAAGATCTGTTTACAGCATAGCATACTGGAGAAACAGTCTCTATCCTTTTCTTCTGTAACAGATCCACAGTGAAGACAACACACCTCTACTGCTACTGGCTGTTGAATCGGCTTAGGACTAAAGATCGCATCAGGTTGAGGACTAACTAAAGACTGAAGGACTGCTGTTGATATGCAGTGTGGAGTAAAAAGGAGTTAAAAACGTATCTGAAGCTTCTACAAACATACTGGAACTAATCTGAACTTAGCTAGCTTGGATACTGTTAACGTAACATCAGGTTCAGTGCAGACTGCAAAACCCACAAGGGGCTGTAGGTTAATTGTCTTTTAGCTGGTGGGCTATTACACCTTAGTGGGAGTGTCTACGTGAGAAGTTCACTGCGTAGTAGACTAATTAGCTGCGCAATAAACGTCTCAGCGTCTACACATGTACCCCTATTAGCTAATTTACCCTGCAGCAGGATAATACTTGTAAATATAAGCACTAAACAAGCACTATCACATTGGCTGGGGCATGAGGGTGCTTTAGTGCAGGGGCTGCCTGCTGACTAGCTCTGTGCTGAATCTCCCTCATGCCCCTTCCTGCCCCTCTGCAGCTCATTGAGCCAAAGGGAGCAGCCCAGGCTGGCAGACTGACCCTGGTGACTCCATGCCAGCCAGGGCAGCTCCACCCAGGCTCCACAAGCTGCACCTAAAAAAACTGCAGAGCTTATTGCTCCAGAGTTAATTGCACCCAGGCATATGTTCAAACAGCACACCCAGGAGCAATTAACTCCAGAACAATAAGTTTTGCAGTTTATTCAAGTGCAATAATTGCACATGTAGACATGCCCAGGGTATATAAAGTTAGCTCATATGTGCCCACATGTAAGTTGTCATTACCCCTTTAACTACAGCAAAGCCACTGCTGTAGGAAGTTATGTTAAAAAATATTGTGCTAAAAAAAAATAGAAATTGGCAAGCGTCAACCCCCGAAAAATTAGAAAATTCCATCACTGCTTTATCCCAATGTAATTATTTTATCATCTAGGAGACATTGATAGTAAACAAATCAAATGGCTTTCCTTTTCTCTATCACCAACTTAAAGACTAATAGCTCAAGAGTATTTTCAAAATTCAAATTCTACTTCCAAGGACTGAAAGCCTCTAACCTATTCAGTCAGTTCTACTTTCTGGTCCAGACTATCAACAAGTACAAACTGGCTCCATTTGTTTCATATGTGATTTAAATAAAATATTTCACAAGCCATCAGGTTTATGATTGCTGCTTATTACCCTGAAAATGACTTTTTCAGGTAAACTTTCAAAAATACCAAAGTTGTTTTAAGATCCTATATCCAAAGTATTTGAATTCTGTATTGCTGTTCCTGTGAAAATTGTCACAGTTCCAAACTAAACACTATTTTGTCCTCTCCACCTGTTGACCGTCAACACTTACTGGGACTGAGATAGGAACCATCTTTCTTATTACCAGGCATCCTGATTTTCTCTGATTTAAAAAATCCCCATTTTTCAGTTAAAATAGTAACCCCAAATCCACATTTTTCTGTAATTTAAATGAAACACCACACACACACACACACACACAGTGGCATTTCATTTCAATCATGGAAAAATGTGAATATGGGGTTACTTTTTTTTTTTTTTTTTTTTTTTAAACTAAAAATTGGG